AGTTGCAACTAGAAGAACTTATTACATAGTGTAATGTTTTCTGGGGCCCATACTTTTGCATAGAGATTATGTCAAAATATGTATCTCTAAAAAAATTTGAAGCTAAAAGGAATTATTTTTTATTATATTTATGTTATGTGTGGAGAAGCTATTGAAACAATTGTTTGTCTATTAAAAGATTGTGCATAGACTAACGTGGTGTGGAGAATGATTCCACTTATAAGTATGCAACACATGTCCTTGACTATTAATTTATGGTTGTCTCATCATTAAGCTCTTCACATAAACAATATTCCAGCATGGTCTATGATGATTCTATAGGGATTATGGTGGTGTCAAAATCAATAGATTCATAATAATAGATGGACTGACCTCCATTTGTTTATGTTGATGCTGTAAAAGAAATTGCATGAGAAAGACCAAGCGTTTGAAAAGGGAAGAGAGGGTAATTATAATGATGTAAATAAGTAGATGCCCCGAGTAACATGGTCATAACCATCGATTGTATATGTTAAAGTAAATATTGATGCATTTATGAAAGGAGGTTGGACTAGGTTAGCAATTATTTCAAGAAATTGGGAAGGCAAAGTAATATTTTCATGAAAAAGGTGAATTCCATCATTAAACAGTAGAGTTGGCAAAGATTATGGATCTATGATATGGGTGGAGATTGCATGGTCAAAAGGCACTCAATATATGATGTTGAAAGGGATGCTCAAAATAATTTTCAATCTAATTCATTAATAACAAAAATACTGTTTGAATTTAGTTAATATTTGATGATGTACTTTTAATATCTTTATTTTTTTTAATTTGAACTAGATTCGTAAAAGTTGCGATCACGTTATTCATACTTTAGTTAATACAGACTTTATCAGCACTTGGTGGTTTCTTTCTCACTTAAAGCTTCCTAATCTCTTAGCTCCTCTATTGGTGCAAGATGGTCATGTTAGCTTTTAATTAGTTAAAGGATTTGTTTTTGAAAAAGAAATTAATTAAATTATACAAATAAGAAATAAGACTTGAACCTTTAATTGAATAGTCTATTTTATATACTCTCTATAAATAAATTTCGGGTTTGAAGTCCCAATATGAGTTGTTTATTATAACAATAAAAATATAAATAATAAATACTAATTTTATTATCACATTTTTAAAGTGTGCGAGTTGATATTTTAGTAATAAAAAAAATCGAATATTTTTATAATGAGAAAATGTGTATTAACAATTAATTTTTTGTTTGTATAGGAAAATTAGATCTTATTTTAAAAATTTTAAAATTCTATAAAATATATGCATCATATCATGTGTGCTTCCTTTTTTTTTTTTTTTTTTTCTTGTTTGAAGGAAAAAAAGGTGACATACATTTCAATTTGTAAACAAAGAAACATACATTTCAAGTTGGAGTATAATAGAATACAATACTTTGATGTAACCTATATATTTTTTTTGTAAAATAAAAGAATTATTCACACAGAAAATAAAGAAAAGGCTTATATTATTTGATTTTGTTAGGTGAATAATCCATGGTAGAAGGAGACATGATGAGCATCATCATAGTACATGGCTTTGTCTGGTATAAATGATTTCTCAAGCGTCCAAACACAGCCTTGCAAGAACACTCAAATTCACAATTAATTACACATTAATTAATTATGATTAATAAACAAAACTAATTAATACATATCATGGCGAGATTATTTGATTGGCCATAGCATGTGATGATGTCGTAATGGGCCCCCACCTACCAACCTTATATTTGATGGGGCCCATCCAAGTATGTCCAAAAAGAATTACTCCCCTTGCCCCAGAGCTCCTTGTTATTTTAAAGCCGCGTTGATTAGCAATTAATTAACTTTGAGAATCACATACTGCCCAAAAAAGTAACTATTTATTATTATTATTATATCTACAGTTTAAATTTTTATACTTCATTCTTTTAAGTCTTTACGTATAATAATAGAATTCTTAATCAAATTTAAATTTTTAGGCTTGAATAAACATTAATTTTATACAATATTTTATTTTAATAATTTGAAGTATTACAAGAGTAAACTTTTAAAGACTTTTTAATCATAAATATATTTTTATTGGAATTTTGTTCTGTTTCTTGGGTATAAAAATATATATTAGACTTAAAATTTTATTAGCAAATGAGTTACATGTTATATCGATTATATAAACTCATATAATAATCACCCATTTAATTCTAATATTTCAAATTAATTTTAATTTCATACCAATTTAACTGCAAGAAGTTGGGTAATAACATATTTTTATGGTTTTTCTTCAACAAAAAGATTTTTATCAAAAACGGTGCGTATTAGTCAAGTTTTTTAATAATAAATACTTCAAAAGGTGTATGCACCTGAAAAATATATTTCAAACAAAATAAAATTAAAAAATATCTTAATTCTCCTTGAGCCCATTGCTCTTCTTGTCCTTTTTAACTTTTTTGCTCAGTACAAATCTGATGGGCTTTTCAGAAACCCAGCCCATAGAATTTAGAAAACTAAATCAAGTTGTTAAAATCTTGAGCCCAGCCCTGATTCTGAATTTTCTTTTCTGTACCACATCTGTGGTATCCATTGTCTAAATGTATATATATGTGTGTGTGTGTGTGTGTACATGCAAAATCATGGAAAAGCGAAAAATGGTTAATAAGCTATTTCCAAATATAATAATACTAGTGGGGAATCTTTGCAGCAAGTCAAATGATAGGACATCATCAATTAGATTGCTTAATGAATGCCATCATTATAATTCATTTGTAGCAATAACCTAACATTGAATTTGATCCACAACACACTTCATACATGCACATAATATTTAGGTGTTTAATTCTACTCTTCCATATATATATATATATTTATATTTTTTTTTTGGCTTTAAAGATGAAGGATGTTTATTTCTATTTCTCTTTGGGATGGTATGAATTTAAACAATTATTGTTGTATAGTGAAAGTACATAAATTTTTATTCAAAATAATAATAATAATAAAAGTCAATTTCCTCCTTGAAAGTTCTGCAAACAGGACTTGATGGTTGCAACACTTGATTGATGGTAGAAAATAATTATTCTTACCAAAAATTCTCTTTAGTGTTCAATTTGATTAATGCTTTTAACTACTTTGAAACTGCAGTACTAGAAAATTGAAAGCATGCACTTTTAAGTGCCCAGTTGAAATTTAGTTCACCCACTGATAATTACTCTTATATTCTTTTTTTCTTAACCATTAAATTTCATCATAAAGTAACATCTACAGTTATATTGTAAAAAATTAGTGACTTCGTTCACCCTTAAATCCTTATTAAACCTGAAAAATCTCTTTTTTTCAACTCAGAAAAACATGAATATATATCATGGTGATCCAGCTAGATGGCTAAAAACAAATATACCATTACATGTTTGTTGAAGATGAGTAGAAAATGAGGGTTAAAGATTGGAGCAGCTAGCATAGTTTCTAGTGTAGATATAGTAAAACTAAACACGTAAAGAAAAGATTTGATCAGCTCTGAAGCAGATTCAGAAATGGACACTGAAGTCAATGATGTAAACCTCTCCTTCAAAATTTGGATAAGTTTAAGGGTACAAGAAACAAGTAAAAGTCTTTGTTAAATATTAGTTAGATGGCTACAGAAACAAAAATATTCTAGCCCTTCGATATCTATGTGTATACATTCTTTGTTAAGTACTTTTATTTTTGGTAATCTTTCATATATCGTACTAGTTGTCAGATTACGTGCCGTTTACGACACATACTTTTTTTCTCTGTTTTATGATTGGATGGATTCATTCATGGAATTAAATCACTTTCCCTGTCAATATGAGTCAAGTTTGTGAATATGGACGTCTTCCATTACACCGTCCACCCTTCTGTTCTTTCCTTTTCAACATTCATAACCCATATCTTCTCCTTTTCTTCTCTTCTTTATCACTTCAATGGAGAAGTACCAAATTCTTTTCCCAGACTCATCCGCATCATCGTCTTTTCCTTGTTCATTAATGAACATGGCTAGCCCTCACACTGGTTACAATATCTTGCATGGTGATGATCAGGGGATGAAGAAAATGAATAATATTACAAGAGCTGATGATCAAGATTTGGATGCCAAGAAAACCATTTATGATGAGAGTACTAGTAATGGAGGCTCTGGTGATTCGGAGGGTGATAGAGTTAGAATAGTATCGGAGAAGAAAAAAAAAAAGGAGAGCAGGAGACATAGATATGCATTTCAAACAAGGAGCCAAATTGATATACTAGATGATGGATATCGATGGAGGAAATATGGGCAAAAAACAGTTAAGAACAATAAATTCCCAAGGTATATATACATATGTACGATATCTTCTTTTTTTCCTTTTTTTACATACACCATTGTAATATCGCTCAACCTGATTGTATAATTGTATATGTACACTATCTACACGTTGTCCTCCCTCCTTCCTATATATATGTGTATATAGAAGTGTGTTTGTATTTAGAACCCAATTGGTAGCTCGCCAACCTATTTTGAGTTAGAAAATCTCAAGTGCCTGCAGACTCTACACTAATAGACAATGATCAAACATGCGTTAACTCTATATGTATCTCTCTCTCTCTCTCTCTCTCTCTCTCTCTATATATATATATATATATATATATATATATAGGTGCACGTATGTGTATGTCTATATAAGGGTTGCCAAATGATATTGTTGATTATTTCATGCAGAAGCTATTACAAGTGTACATATAAAGGTTGCAACGTGAAGAAGCAAGTCCAACGCAGCTCCATTGATGAACAAATCGTGGTAACAACGTATGAAGGGATTCATACACATTCAACCCAAAAGTTGGATGAGAACTTTGAAGAAATCCTGAGGCAGATACACATGCATACTACTTTCTAGAATTATATATTCAAAGACTTGCAAACAAAAATAATTTCGATTAAAAACACGCATCAAAATTCATCTGTAAATTCACATCTTTGTGTAAATTATACTGCGGGCAAAAATGTGGATTGACAAATTTTGAGTTTTGAATATTTTTGTGTGATTCATTATGTTTATTAGTGGCATATTAGTTATATATTGGTTTGAGCTGTGATCTGATCAGCCATTGAGAACCTGAAAATCAGATTGGGAGACCTGAACATTTGAACTACAATGGCTCAGCCTGAACCTATTTTATCACTCTCTCTTACAGGTAAGTTGATACTCTTTATCTTTTCTATGATAATTTCTTGGCCACGAATGTAGAATTATTTTGATTTTTAGGCAATAGATAATTGGAGTGTGAATTTGATAGTACTGATATTCCTTCGATCATAGACTCAACCTTGTTTAGCTCTAATTGGCTTATTAAGTCCTAAAGCAAGCTTTAATTTCTTTGAACATTTTTGACTGAAGATCAAATTTTATAACTTTCTCTTCTTTTGTTTTCCTTTTTCTCCAGTTAACACAAATATATCTTGTAAAAGAAACATAACAATTGGACTAAAATGATACTATCTGTAATAATATATTATCTTGATCATAAATGGCCGGTTCATTACTAAATTTAAAAATTCATGTCTATAATTAAAAGTGTGCAAAAGTTAAATCGAACTGACTAAACTCAATCTGGTTAGTGGGTTAAACCGATTTAGTTAACTTTTTAATAAAAAAAAACCTTATTGTTTTCAATCTAACTTTATTCAAAATTATGAAATTGTGTCGATGGTTTTAATAGCAAGTATGTTTGAAGTATTCTTAATGTAAATAGTATACATATTTACATATAATATATAATATTGATAAAATTGAATTATTTGGTCAGCAATGAAATCAACCAAGACTATTTTGATGGGTCTGATAGTTTATCATGATTGATTCAAATAATTGTAATCCTGTCATTGTTTGCATTTGTCATGCTAGTTCAAAGTTAATAGCTTCTATGTTTTGGTGGATGTTGGGGTTTTATATTGATTCTAAACAGTTTGCTTTTGTGATTCTCAAGTGGGGTAGCATTTTCATGCACATCTCTACTTCTATATGTCTATAACCATCTTTATATACATTATTGGCACCCTAGTTATCCAATTCATCATTGGGATGAAAGTTCCAAACCTTTTTAAAAACGAAAAGGTAGAAAAACCAAAAAAAAATAGCGATTTATGCTCACATTACCCTTGAACAACATAGAGTAACCAAATTTTGTTATAGCATTATGAACATTTGCCGAGTTATGAGAGTATTTCTTATGGCAAGCAGTAATATATTAGAACACAACAGAATAGATTGAACCGTTAATTTCAAAAGTATGTTAGAACACAATATGATAATGGTGTCTATTAAAATTTTCTATGCAGACACCTGTGGGTGGCCTGACTCCTTCACTCTGCCTTATGACTAGTTTGGGTTAGCATATTCCTTGCTACTACAGAAGAGAAACTTGAAGCATGCCTCAGTTTTGATATTAACATAAAGAAGCTCCTTGACACAAGAACTCTATATTCATCATAACATCAGCAAGTCAATTTATCAGCCCAAATATCAAGTTTCTTCAGTTAACAATCAGGATTATCAGCCCAAATAGCAACAGACATATACATCCCTTGACAAAACAAGAAAAGAAACGAGTTCGTCAAAATAAAAGTTGGAAAAACAGGATCATGTTGGGACTAGAATCACTTCTGCAACTCCATGGCCACCAGAAAATGATCTGATTGAAATGATACCAATTAGAGCAATAAGAAACAAACCCATTACGACTACCCATCTGGCTCTGTCACCATCCACATCACGACCAAATCCCCTCTCTTCCTGAGCCGCCATAGCAAGCTGTTTTTGGTCTACACGGTCACCACACAGAGAAGACGAAGAAGACGATGATGATGATATTGGTATTGATGAACTGAATGAAGATAACTGACAATGAAAAGGAGACAACGTTACATAGCTGCCATAATTCTCATTCTCATCATCAGAATCATAAGAAAACACAGATCTCACTTCACTCTCTTCAAACAAACCATTATTCAACACACTGCATATCTCGTCTCTTCCTCCAAAACCCACCTCTGTTACATCCTTCTCTGCCTCAAAAAGACGCCGTCCCTTCAACTTTCCGGTCTGGATGGCGGCCTTTCTCTCCCTGATTATTTCCTCGATTGCAAAGTCCCTGTGGCTCACCTTCCATGCTGTTTCCTCCTCGGACGATGGAGACCTGCAATGGTGGAGTGATGACATGAGACTTCTCGGGGAGTTCTCTAGCAGCCGAAGAGCAGTAACAATGTTGGTGGAGGGTTGTGATGAGATTCTACGTAGAGTTCTGGGTTTTGGGTGTTTAATGGAGTCCCATTGTCGCTGCAAGTGCTTGAATTGCTGGTGAAGTTTGTCATCAGTTTGTGTATTTTGTAAGCTTGGTCGTTCTCTTTCCATGGTGGGGTCTCCTCTGCTTTCCTTGTATCCTATTCCATCATTGGTGCTGTAAGTGGAGCTTTTGAATTAAAAGGATAAAGAAGTTTTTTTTTTTCACCTGTTGCTCCTTTTTGAACTCAATAGATTGAACGAGATAATAGCAAATGAAACCGCCCCACGTTCGGGCTCATCAAATTTTTTTTTTTTCTTTTTCTTTCTTTCTTTCTGTGAACAATTGATGTATTTGATTTGAATTTTTGAATTTTGATATAAAAGGGATTAAAATGTGATCATCTGGATGTTGATTACTATTATGGAAGAAATCCAAACCATTAAGTAATCTTTTGGAGAAAGTCTGAAAGATATTTTCCTTCATTGTAGATTGGAATCCATCCAAAAGATGAATCATCAATTACCCTCTTTTAATTTTTTTTTAAATATTCTTGTGAATATGACAGGAATTCAAATCATCAATTCTGTCTTAAGAATATCATAATTTTTTACACAAGGTTGAGAATATAATTTCAACTAAAATCATCACTTCTCCTGTGAATTGTTATGCCATCAAAAACTTATTCCTAGTTTCCTTCCGCTCTGGTCTAAAAAAATTTACCCTATAATTTTCACCATCCTTTTCTTTTTGCTGGACCTTTAGATTAGATATTCCTTCCAATATGAAGCCTCATGTTACCATAAAAAGTTCCTGACAGACATCCCAGCAAAGCAAATACCATCAGGAGACACCACCAGTAACCTTTGGTTTTCCCTTTCTTTCGATGAGTTGATGGCGAAACAATGAGATATCTCCTTTTCACTTTTCCTTTCAATTTACCACCCACATTGATTGATGACTTGCTATATTCCACAACAAAGCCAGAGTACATTGCTATATAACTTGGGATTCATTGCCAATACCATGGCTTTCAAGAAAAGATTGTCTAACAAGAATTTTCTAGTAATCACTTGTTAGCAATTACCTTTCTAACATGACAGCACATCCTAGCAAACTGTTCCGTCAATCCTAAAATTTGCACCCCTCAGTTCGAATAACGATGAGCGCAGACTACTTCAACACTTATAGTACAGCTTCTTTATTTAAGCTACTCTGCTCCCTGTTTAGGGCTTGATATGTCCTCAATAATCCCTTTCCCATCCATGGCATCAAAGAAAAAGAAATTCTTGAGGGGATCCCCTTTGCCAGATATTGCTTTGATAACCTCCTGAAAAATGGTTAGTAACTTTATAAATCAGATGCACGACACTTTCAAAACAAAACGATCAAAAACCAAATGAATTAGTACCTGGCCCAGGATCCCTCCAATGATGGCACAGACAGGAGGGAATTCTCTAGCACCCACTAGCAATCTCTCTAGGAGGATATCCGGTATATGAGACTCGTTTAGCGACTGCAATGTATATGATATGACGTGTCAGGGGAAGTAGAGAACACAGATATT